ATCCATAGTTGCTCAGTCCACAAGGCTGGATGTCCCAGTAGTCCCAATCTGGCACTGAAGGTCTGACGAATTCCAAAAGATCAGCTAGTCTTCAGTCTACAGCAGCAAGACGAACTCACCAGAGATAGAGAAGACAAGCAGCAAGAAGCCTGGCATTCTCCTCTGCCTTGGCTTTTTATATGGGCTGCCATCAGAAGGTAACACCCACATTTAGGGTGTGTCTTCCGGCTTCAGATGATCCAGTCAAGAAGATCTCTTTCATTTCTGTTAATCCCAGATCCAATCAAGTTGACACCCAGGATTAGCCATCACACCCACTAATCACTAATTTAGTGCTAATCTCTGTTTTATAGTCCTGGACTACTGATTTTATGAAATTGGGTACTCCAAAGTTTGGTGCATAAATGTTCATGATTGTTATATCTTCTTGGTCAATTGTTCCTTTGATTAGAATGAAGTAACCCTCCTTATCTCTTCTGATGAGTTTTAATTTGAAGTCTATTTTGTCGGTTATTAAAATTGTGACACCTGCTTGCTTCTTAGGGCCATTTGCTTAAATTTTTTTTTCATCCTTTCACCCTAAGATAGTGTCTGTCCTTGAAGGTGAGATGAGTTTCTTGAGGACAACAAAAAGATGGACTTTTTTTTTTTCTTGATCCATGTCACCAATTTGTGTCTTTTGATAGGGAGGTTCAGCCATTGATATTTAGTGTTGTTATTGAAAGGTGTGGATTGTGTACTGTCATTTTAATTTCTTTGTGTTTGTGGCCCTATTTTGTGTTTCCATTGCTATACCTTTATTTTCTTTATGTAGCCTTTTGGGAATGCTCATTTTTTGCTTTGGTCCTTTGTATTGCTTCAAGTATTCTCTGTAGTGCTGGTTTGGAAGACATGAATTCTTTCAGCCCATTTATATTATGTAAAATTTTCTGTTCCCCTTTGACCTTGATAGATAGTTTTGCTGGATAAAATATTCAGGGTTGGCATCTATGGTTGTTTAGAACTGGGAATACTTTGTTCCAGAGTCTTCTGGCTTTCAAAGTTTGCATTGAAAAGTCAGCTGTTATTCTGATGGGTTTTCCTTTATATGTAACTTGTTTTTCTCTAGCAGCTTTCAGTACCCTCTCTTTGTTCTGTACATTTAATGTTTTTACTATGATATTTCGTGGGGACTTTCTGTTCTGATCATGTCTTAATGGTGTCCTCTGTGCTTCTTGACTCTCTATATGTATAGCTTTCCTTAATTTAGGGAAGTTTTCTTCTATAATCCTATTGAAGATCTGTTTCATGGCATTGGTTTGATTTTTTTCTCCTTCCTGTATGCCTATGATACATAGATTTGTTCATGTTGTCTCACATTCCCTGAGTATTCCATTCCTGTGTATTTTTGAATTTTGCATATTCTTTTCTTAAGGAGTCCAGATCAACTTTATCCTCCAGTCTTGATATTGTTTTCCATTTCATTCATTCTGCTTGTGAGACTTTCTCTTGTTGCTTCTAATTGGTTTATTAAGTCTTTCAGTCCCGTGTTCATTTCCATTTGGGTTTTCTTCACTATTTCTATCTCTTTAGTGAATTCGCTTTTCAAATTATGAATTGTTTTTGATATTTCATTAAGCTGAATATTTGTATATTCTTGGGATTCCATCAAAAGTTTATGCCTTTCCTGTTTGAGTTCTTTGAGTTGTTTGTGTTTTCTTGTAATTCTTTGAACATGTTTATGATTGTTCTTTTAAATTCTGTTTCCTGGGGTTCTACAGGGTGCTTCTTAATGTTCTGCACTTCTCTAAGACTCGTGGGTTTTGTTAGGGACATATTTTCCTGGTTTTTCATATTGTCTGTGCTTTTTTGTTGCCATCTGGACACATGGATGTTCTTTGTTGGTTACATGTTCAACAGGAACTTCTGCTCTGCTTTAATTTAATTTAATTTTGCTTCTGTTAATATTGTTTATGTAGCTTAGTTACTTTTTGTTTGCGTATGGAAGATAACTTGGTGGGTATTTCAGGTTCTTGCTGGGTAGTAGAATGATCAGAGTCCTGGCTGAGCGGGTCTGTTTGCCTGATCTGGAGGCTGAAACTTTGGTGGTGAGGGGACCACCTAGATGAGGACTTAGGGATCTATGGTAGGGTGGTTAGTTAATCTGGTTTGAGAAGCTAGTTTTGGGACTTGAGCTGAAGGAATTGGAACCCGCATGTGAGAGAGGCCTGAAGGGACAAAGTAGGGGTGCATGAGAGAAATGGAGTAGGGAGGCAGTGAGCTTGATCTGACTTAACAGAGTCCTGGCTGAGCTTGTCTGTCTGTCTGATCCAGAGCCTGAGAATTTGGAGGTTAGGTTACGCCTAGGTGAGGACTTAGAGTCTATGGTAGGGTGATTGGTTAATCTGGCTTGGGAAGTTGGTTCTGGGATTTGTGGTTAAGGAATTGGAGCCAGCCTGTGAGAGAGGCCTGCAGGGACAGGGATGAGAGCAAGTATAGTATTATTATTATTCCCTTATGGTTTTCTGGATCTTTTTGGTATCTCTTGCGATGTTTCCCTTTTTTTTCTCTGATTTTGTTGATTTCTTTTGGTTAATTGGGCTAAGGGTCTGTCTCTCTGTTTAGTTTTTCAAAGAGCCAGCTCTTAGATTCGTTCATTCTTTTTATTGTTTTCTTTGTTTCTATTTCATGTTTGTTATTTCTTCTCATCTGCTGGGTTTGGGTTTCATTTGTTCTTGCTTTTCCAGAGTCTTGAGTTGTTTTGTTAAGTCATTTATATATGCTCTTTCTGAGGTTTTAATGTAGGCACTTAGAGCTATAAACTTCCCTCTTAGGGCGTAGTATAGCAACCCCTGCTTATTTCTTAGTGCCATTTGCTTGGAATATTCTTTTCCATCCTTTTACTTTAAGGTAGTGCCTGTCTTTGAAGGTGAGATGGGTTTCTTGCAGACAACAAAAGGATGTATTTTGTTTCTTAATCCATTCAACCGGTCTGTGTCTTTTGACTGGGGAGTTCAGTCCATGGATACTTAAAGGTATTATTGAAAGGTGTGTATTGGTTGCCATCATTTTGATAACTGTTTGCATTCTTGGCCTAATTTTGTGTTTTCACAATCATAACTTCATTTGGTTTCTTTCTGTTGCCCTTTAGGTAGAGTCGTTCCATTCTCCATTCTTTGTATTGCTTCAAGTATTCTTTGAAGGGCTGGTTTTGTGGACATGTAGTTTTTCAGCCTATTTGTGTTGGAGAATATATTTCTTTCCCCTTCAACAATAATAGACATTTTTTCTGGGTAAAGTATTCTGGGTTGGCATCTATGGTCACTTAGAACTGGGAATACTTTGGTCTAGGCTCTTGTGGCTTTCATAGTTTGCATTGATAAGTCAGCTGTAATTCTGATGGGTTTTCCTTTATATGTGAGTTGTTTTCTTTCGCAGCTTTCAGTATTCTCTTTTTGTTCTGCGCATTTAATGTTTTTGCTATGATGTGCTATGGGGAGTTTCTTTTCTGGTCCTGTCTATTTGGTGTTCTATGTACTTCTTATATTTGTATCGTCATGCATTGCCTTAATTTGGGGAAATTCTCTCCTACAATTGTGTTTAAGATCTGGTCAATACCATTAACCTGAAATTCTTCTCCTTCTACTATGCCTATGATGTGTAGTTTTGGTCTTTTCATGGTGTCCCATAGTTCCTGCATGTTCCAGTCCTATGTTTTAAAAAATTCTTTCGTAATCTTTACTTGAGCAAAGCAGTGGGTTTTGTTATGATACTTCCATAGATGTGTATAAAGTGTTTTGACCATATTTCACCCCCATATTACCCACTCAAACCTCCTCCACCCCTTTCTCCTGCCAAACTCTAATAGCTCTACTTTCATACCCCTCCCAACCTCCTGAATTCCACATATGACAGGATCATGCTAGTAACAATTGTCATCTTCGGATAGTAGGAGATAGATGACTTATTTTCCTCTCATAGATTTCTCAATATTCTCCAAATATCTCAGTGAATGTTTTTTAACTTTGTAAGCATAAAAAGTTATACATACTTTTAAAACAAATATATATATCATAATTTATTAGATAATACAGTACATGTTATAAGGTATATACATTTATTACAGCTCTGAAACTCTTTCATGTGGGCACTCCACACTTTTGCTCCAGACTCATTCTTGAGTTATATGAAGGATCTTTCATATTCAGGTTTGGGAGAGAGAGGTTTGGAGGGAATTCACATAAGCTGCTCCTGCTCCTTGATCTGTAAAGGCAGAAGAGAGGGGCTAAGATTCATAAATTACCAAATGAATCTTTAACAGTGCTTCAGTCCCAGTCAATCATCATCTTTCATCATCTGTGCCTTCTTGGATAACAGGTGAGGGCCTTCCCATTTAAGATAGTATGGCTCCAGCTGAGCATGGTGAAACACGCCTTTAATCCCAGCACTTGGGAAGCAGAGGCAGGTGGAGTTATTTTGATATATCACAGTGAAAGATTTATCGTCCTCTTTTTTTTTTTTTTTTTTTTTTTTTTTTTAAAAAAAAAAAAAAAAAAAAAAAAAAAAAAAGTATGGTCCCAGGGTGGTTAAAGCTGATGTCATAAGCCAGTGCTCAGGGCCACCATGGCTGGTGGAGAGCAAAGGGCTAGTCATGCCATGGTTATAGAATCCTGACAGTAAGAATCAGAGGGAGGGGCCTTGTGCTCTGCATACTTCCCCAGGGCTGTTTCAGGCTGAGATTCTTAGCATCTAGTTGGAAGTCTGTGCAGCCACTTGAAACACAGAAAAGGACCCCAGGCTAGGAAAATAAATGCCTTGTTCTAGGACTTCAAAACTTAAGACTCTGAGCACGCTACCTAATCTCTTAGGGGTTTAACATGTTTTCTAATATGTGGATTTCTCTTCATATTGTACAAATCATTCACTTTTTAATAGATTTTTTTAAGGCATAAAGTGTTTTATTAAGTACTTACAAAGTATATTTGGTATTGACTATTAAGTATCTAAGTATTTACTACTTACTTTACATAAAAGATACTGTAATGCTATGGTTTACTAAGGTATTGAGATGGTATCTTTAGCTCTTTAGTGACCACAATGCCTGTAGAATGCTATGCTGCCTCAGAGTGCCACACTATGTTTAACCCTTGCTTTCCAGTCTGAAAGAGGTTTGAGAATTTTCTCAGGGGCCCACCCTAGTACATATTCTTTCTCAAGCCTAATTGAGAAGCCTCCTGTGCTTTGTGCCACAGGGAGAAGTGAATGGGCTAATGAGTCAAAATGTACTGGCGAATACATATGTATTGAAAACTACATAAAGAGAAGCTATGTCTAGAGAGGCAATTTCCCTACAGGCTCATTGAGACAAAACTAAGAGATAATGAGATCATCTCTTGCCTATGCATAATCACAAAGGAGAAATCTCTGAAATGTCAAGCTGAAAGACAAGGCCTTGCCTGCTCCAGCTCTGCTAGATTCCTTGGCAAAGTTTTCTCCACTTTGGCTGACATAGCTGCTGAAAGAAGAGCTTCCCACACTCTGTACCCTCCATCTAGTCCATCTATTCTTTGGCCTTATAATATAAATTTAGAGCCCAGGGGCTAGAGAGATGGCTCAGTGGCTAAAAGCACTGGTTACTCTTACAGAGGTCTTGGGTTCTGTTGCCAGCACCCACAAGGTGCCTAACCATCCTTAACACCAGTTCCAGAGGATCCAATGCCCTCTTCTGGCCTGCACAGGCATTGCACATACATGCAGGCAAAACACACACAAAATAAAAATACTTTTTTAAACTTAAAAATTTAGAGGCAGGTGTGGTGGTCCATGCCTGTAATCCCAGCACTTGGGAGGTACAGGCAGGAGAATCAAGAGTTCAAGGTCATCCCTGGCTACATAGTAAGTTTGGGGCCAACATGGGCTATATGAGACCCTGTCTCAAACACCTACAATAATAAACCCATAGAAAGCTAGAGAAGCCACATTTTAAAATGAATTACATTTTTTTTGTCTTTTTGAAACAGGGTCTCCCAGTAGCCCCAGATGGCCTGGAACTCACTATGTAGACCAGGCTGGCCTCGAACTCACAGAGATCTGCCTGCCTCTGCCTCCCGAGTGCTGGACTAAAGGCATGTGCCACCATGCCCGACTAAGAATTACATTTTTAACTGATTCTTTTGTGAACTTTTTTCCCCCCTAAAAAAGGTTCTCAATATTTCCAATGAGTTTCTGCCCCTTACTGGCTCATCTAACAGCTTAGAAAAAACTAAAAATCACAAGAATCAGAATCTTTAATGCAAAGGGAAAGAGGAGGTGACCACATACCTGTGACTCACTGTCTTGTTCCCTTGGAGAGTCTGACATTTCCTGCACTCTGGAGCACCCCTCCCCTGCAAGGACCAAGAAATATCCTGAATGAGAGGCATGGCAGCAAAAGTTGTCTGGTAAAGAAATACATAACATCTAGGACAGCCTAAGGTCCTAAAAATTTTAAATTATATGTGTATGTGTGTGCATGCTATGTGTGAGTGTATGTGTGCACATGTGTGTATGCATGATGTGTATGTGCCAGATGTGAGGGGGTGCTGTATGGTGTGTGTGTGTGTGTGTGTGTGTGCGCGCGCGCGCAGAGGTCAGAGGACAACTCTGTGGAATTGGTTATCTCCTTCCACCTTTACAGGAATTAAACTCAGTTCACCTGGCTTGCATGGCAAGCATTTTTATCCACTGAACCATCTCGATGATCCCCAAGGCCCTTTTAAACATGCACATTAAGACTGCCTTGAATACAATGTTTCAGTAAGTAGAGGTCTTTTAGGCAGGTCAGTTTGCACAACTCTGGAAATGTAAGTGCAAAGTGTCTTATCACAAAAAGGAAAATTGTACACAGGTCTTGTGGCATCTGTAAGGCAGTCATTAACAAAATCATGGGCTCAGGATAAGCTACTTTTGATTCAAAAGCACTGAAGGGGCTCTGAAAGGCCTGGGCTCAAGCAGGCTTGGAAGTAGGGAAGATCTGGTTCCATGGACATTGCTCAGATTTTATCTTTAAAGAAGAGTGATCCAAAATGTATCACACACGAAGAGCAAAGGTGAAATGATAAGAAAGAATTACCAATATTAATACTTATGGAATAGGGCATTGCTGTTTTCTTTGAATTTAAAATCATCCTCATGTGAGCAGAGATTAATCCTTTTTTATTTTTGGTCTTTTTGAGACAGGGTCTCCCTGTAGTCCCAGCTGTCCTGGAACTCACTATGTAGACTAGGCTGGCCTTGAACTCACAGAGATCTGCCTGCATCTGCCTCCTGGATGCTGGGATTAAAGGTGTGTGCCACCATACCTGGTGATGATTAATCTTTTTTAAAAATTTTATTATTTTTATTTTATGTGTTATGAGTGTTATGCCTGTGTGTCCTAAGTGCACCCATGTCATGCAATGCCCGTGGAGGTCAGAAGAGGCTGTTGGATCCCCTGGGACTGGAGTTACGGACAGTTGTTAGCTGCCATGTGGGTGCTGGGATTCGAACCCAGGTCTTCTGCAAGAACAACCAGTGTTCTTAACCGGTGAGCCATCTCTCCAGCCCCAGAGATTAATCTTTTAATCAGAATATTTGATTAAGAAAAAAATTGAAAGAGACCCTGGGAAGTTCCTTCTGCTTCTTCAGCTTAGCTTCCCCAGGCAAGGAAACAAACAGAGGAACAGACTGAGTTCCTCCCCTCCTGGAATAAGAAGGGGAATTTGGCTGGAGCATCCCCAGGAGGAGGCAGGCAGATGATGGAGAGCTCAGGCAGTGGACCTGGGAGCCCGAACTTAACAGTGGATGGAGAAGGATTACACAGTTGGCCAAGAGGCCTCTAACCTACAGAGCAGAGTAACTTGAAGAAGTGACTTGATCAAGAATGTTCTGAAATAATTAGAATCTAGTTACCCGTGCCCATGGGCAAAAGCAAATAGAAACAGAGAAAATAGCTAAGAACTTCTGAAGACCAACTGCTCTTATTTCAGACGTGCCAGCATGGGGCTGCAGGGCCTGTGCAAACTCCCCTTACAAATTTCAGAGCAGAGCAAAGGTGATTGATTACAAGTGGGTGCTGAAACTTCATCCTGATATTAGCATGTGGCAGAAGATGGTGAGAAGAAGCGATGAGGCGATCAAAGAGCAAATCAACTCTACATTTGAAAACGTATCTAGAAGCACTACCATCTGAAACTGAATATGAACCTGCTTCAAGGTTTGTTCTTTTCTGTGCATTAAAAAAAGAGAAAACACCCAAACATGATCAGAAACAGCTGTTGCTCAGGGATTTTCCAATGTCAGAGAGGGTGTTATGGACCCAAAGGGTCAGACCAACTACCTCTGCTTGATTTCTCATAATCCTCAATCTTCTCCAGCAGGCTCTTGTTGACTTGCTCACACATATTTTTCAGGTTGTCCAAATTTCCTTCTCCTAGAAGGGACTCCTTTTCCATCTCTATGAAAATGTCAAGCAAGCTCTATGGAGAAATAAAGTGGGAAGACTGGACTGAGTGCACTGGTTTACAGATTCGATTTTTTTTTCCATTAATTTCTACTTTCTCCAAACCAAGGGTCCAGCCTTACTCCCCTCATAGCTGACAGACAGTCAGGAAGGCCATTCTGGTTTTGTTTTTTGTTTTTTTGTCTAACAGGAACAACAGTGGCAAGATAGAGAAGCCATGTCAGATGCCCCCCAATCCCCAAGTCTCAAACTATATACAGATGCCTTTATCTGTGAACCAGCCTGAGGTGTATGGATGGAACAGCCTGGGACTGCCTTGTACTGACATTGCCTTTGGCACCTTATCTACCTCTGAACCTCAATTAACCCACAATGAGACATATAAACATACCATCTACACAGAGAGACACCATCCACAAAGACACAAATACTAAATATACACACAGATACATACACAGTATACATCAAAACAGGTACACCACACAACAAAGACAGACACATATATACCACACATATACAGATACAGATTAGTAGAGAAACACACATAGAGATGTATACAGACCAATAGAGAAGCACATAGAGATACACACATCCACACACTGATACAAATGCCACATATATATACAAGAAACACATATACAGCATACACATAACATATAGACACCACAAAACATACTCGGACACACAACACAGGGAGAAACATACCATATACATTGAGAAAAAAAATGCATGAGCTGTTTCAGTGCTGCAGAATTGGGTAAATGTCACCCAGACCATCACTTCCTTCCTGGCTCTGCTGGGTCCCACTCTGTATTGCGCTGTACAACCTGTCTTCTCTGGCTCCTGACTCTGCCCCATGATTAAGTGGAGCAGCCTTTCATAGTGCAAAGGCATCATCAGATCTACAGCATTCCTGCTCTGACTACTTTCTTCTCCCTGGCTAAGAAGCCAGAATACAGGGACTGGGGATGTAGCTTAGTTGGTAGAATGCTTGCCTAGCATGCGCAAAGCCCTGGGTTCGATCTTGGTGCCACACAAACCAAGAGTAGTGGCACATGTCTGTAATCCCAGCACTCAGGAGGTGAAGGTAGGGAGATCAGAAGTCCAAGGTCATCTCTGGCTACATAGTGAATTTGGGACCATCCTGAGATACATGAATACCATGTCTCAGATACCTAGTCTTACCGAGGCATCATCCAGCTTACAAATGGGGCTCTTCTCCTTAAAAAGAGACTTAAGAGATCTCAAGTCCTCCATTTTTACTTCTTCTGAGAGACGAAATAGCATGACCCTGGGGTGGGAAATGAAGACACTTTAGAAACACGTCCTGGATCATTTCCCATTGCTATGTGGAGTCACAGTGGGCCTCTTTCCAAGAGCCTCCTTAAAACAGAGCCAACTTGGGGCTGGAGAGATGGCTCAATGGTTAAGAACATTTGCTGTTCTTCCAGAGAACCTGGATTTGATTCCCAGCACTCTTTTGACCTCCTCAGGCTTTGCAGGACAAGGGTGTACTTACATATATACATGCAGGCAATACATTCATAAAAGTAATAAATATTTTTTTTAAAAAAAGAAAGTAACTAATACACATAGCTTTGAGCAGGATGACCCAAGCCCTGTTCTCCTGAGGTAGTCTAGCACTAGCTTCAGTCATGCTCACAGGTACTAAGCATTCTGTGTGGGGCCAGGCCTTATGAGACAACTGTGTCAACTGAGTCTTCAGATATGAAATAAAAGTCTTAAATTCATGGTAGGTATCCATAGATTCACAAGTACGTGGGAGGGCGGTCAGTGTGGGAAGCAGTAAGGCCTTGGCCAATGGACAGGCAAAGCAAGCACATGATGTGGTCATCAGCAAGCAGGGCCACCAAGGTGGGAGTGCTATGCATGGGTGGAACTGCCTTCTCCCTCATGGCCCTAATCCAACCACAACAGCAGTCTTGGTTCTTGGGTCCTGGAAGAAGATTCACACTGGAGCACAAGGAGAGCAAGCAAATCAACGTTTACTTCAGCAGCTGAGAGTAGTGGGCAGACCAGTCCAGCAGCACCCACAAGGGGCTGCCTCTGGTATCTGCACCCATAGGTCCTGATCCTTCCCTTCTCCTCCCTTGTCCATCCCTGGGGTGGTCTGGGTGGTCCCTTTCCTGGAGTAGACTGAGGCTTTCTTAAAAGCCATCATTACCCACAATTCAGTCTGTTACAACTTGATGCATTAGATGCAAGAATATGTATAAAGGTGTGACTACTCATTGCCGTTTACTAGGGGAAAGGGCAACGATGCCTTGTACATGCTCCTTTAGGGGGATGCTTCATGGGAACCAGCCAGAGCCTGCTGAGACCAGCTTTCTTGTTTTATTTTTTCCCCCCAGAGCCCTGTCCTTCCTCTTATCTGGTTAGTTTGGCTACCTCAAACCAGCTGCAAGCCTCATTTGTCTTCCTCAGTGTTCTCAAACTCGCCATTTTAACCCTAACATCTGTGGCAACTGTAACAAGAAAGAAGATGGAGAGAACTAGAATAGTTATTAAAACTCTATTTCAGTATCAGCACATGGAAGGTAATGTTAAATATATTCATTCTTTCACATTTAATACACCTGCATACTTCGACTGTATCTCCCCCATTGGCCTCTCTTACCCCTCACTTAACCCCTTCATCCCAATAAGTCTCCCTCCAGCTTTCACGTCCCTTTTTGTGCCACACCGCATGAAAAATAAATTATTTTGTGGTTTTAGCATTTTCTCTCTGAATTATATATCTAGCACCTACATTTCTTCATCTAGCCCAGAGACCCACAATTCACACCAAGGCCATGCACCCTGTCAGCAGCATCACAAAGACATGTCCCTCCAGCCTACATCTCCCGGTCCCCACACCAGGTTATGTCTACCCACCTGTAGGCAGACACATGGGCTTTGCCAGCAATCTGCAGTTTCTTCACCATCTCCTCCTTGCTGCTGCCTAGGTTATTGGTCAGCAGGTCCAGCCGATTGATGAGGAAAAGAAGCTCCTTCAGGAAGAACAGATTTCCTTCCCAGAACACACCCCTTTCCTGCAGTTTCTGGAATAATGCCATGGGATCCTTGATGGGCTCCTGCTTCTTCAGTGGGATGAAGTCCAGGCTTAGAAATTTGAGGGCAGCCAGTTCATTACTGTCCAGTTGTTCAGAAATGAGGTAAAGACAGCTGCCGAAATCCATCCTAGTCAAGAGGTAGGAGAGTGCTCACCTAGATCCACATACAATGCAATGTTCAAGTGAGGAAGCAAAAGACCAGCTGCTGGTTTGTTTCTTCATCAAGTGCATTTACTGTATTCCAGACATTTTACAGGGAAAAGGTGAGAAACACTATGAAACAAAATAGAGCACGTTTCTGCTACTTTTTAGAGGTAAAAGCAGAGAAAGCCAGTGGTTAGACACTCCTGACCAGGGTACAGTACCTTTGATGACTATCCTTCACTATAACCTTGAAACTTTCCTCTGATGCAATAGGAGGATTGATTCTGAGTCTTAAAGGACTCAGACCGTCCTTCCTGAACATTCATGGATGAAAACCTTAATCCGACCCAGCACTCAGAGGTAGTGGCTGAAGGAACCACATCCATGGCCTTCTACTATACACCTGATGCTAAAATAAAAATATTTTTAGCTGGGCATGGTGGTACACACCTGCAATCCCAGCACTGAAGATACAGAGGCAGGGGGATTGCTGCAAGTTCAAGGCTAACTTGGTCCACAGAGCTGTTCCAGGTTACACAGGGAGACTGTCTCAAAACACCAAAAGCAAACTAACAATAACATAAAATAACTATATTTTTGATTTTCCATTACAATAAGTTTTCATGTTTTTTAATGGCCCAAAAAACTTTACTGTCCCTTTCAGAATTGCCTTTTCCCATTCTATAACATCAACAGTTGATTTGGAGGTCTGAAAATTCAAAATACAGAAAATTACAGTATGATCACAGAATCATTTTCATATACTACATACACTCATGTATTCACACACATGAAGAAACTCTGATATAAAAACTTCAATTGGGCCACATAAGCAGATATATACACCCACTGTTGAAGTTTTCTTCACTTGACTCTTACAATGAACATTTATCCTGTTCCACTGAGTATCCTTCAACATGTTTTTATGTTTTTTGATTTGTAGCAAGTGGATATAGTAAAACTCACTGGGAACAATATTCTATATCTTTGCTTACGAGTTTTTGAAACAAGGTCCATTATGTAGCTTGGGTTGGCCTGGAATTCGCCATGTACCAGGCCTTGAACTTCAATAACTTCTGTCTTAGCCTTCCAAGTGCTGGGATTAAAGATATGTGCTCCCACACCTAGCGTTTCTCCAGTTTCACTGTTAAAACACTATTCAGAAACTGGACACTTCTCCATCTTCTCCATGTCCCTGATTATGTATTATTAGTGAGAGAGAGATAGAGATGTATGGGCATGTGTGTGCCACCACAGGAGTGTGAGGAGGTCAGAGGACAACTCTGTGGAGTGGGTTCTTCCACATTTTTGTGCGTTCCAGGGATTGAACTCAGGTCATTAAGCTTACATGATAAGCATCTTTACCTGCTGAGCTATGTCACTGGTCCTCCCTAATTATTTTCTTAAATAAATTGTTAGAATTGGGATTATGAAGCAAAATTTCTTTTGTCTTCTTTGACCTAGAGATTAGATCATCATTTAAACAAGTTTTCTTGATTTTGGAAACAGAGAGGAACAACATCTTATAAAGGATCCACATTACATTTGATTCAAAATCTAGATGTTTCACTGCAAAAATCAGTTATGAAAATTCTTTTACTTAGGAAAGGCATTTTGGGGGCTGGTGAGATAGCTCAGCTGTTAAGAGAACAGGCTGCTCTTGCAGAGGACCTGGGTTGGATCCCAGCACCCACAATGCAGCTAACAACTACATGTAACTCCAGTTCTGGGGGACCTCTTCTGACCTCCTAGGCATTGCATGACATGGAGGCACTTACATACACGCAGGCAATACACTCGTACACATAAATTAAAATAATAAATAAAATATTAAAAAAGAAAAGCATTTGAAACATATGGCCAGCACATGTTCAAAGTATAACAAAGAAAAACTGCTGGGCACACAAGGGAGCAAACTAATAATCCTATTCCTTAAATAAGAGGAGAGGTTGCTCAGTGGTTAAGACTGAGTATTGTTCTTGCAAAGAACAGTTCAGTTTAGTTTCTAGCACCCATCTCCGGTGACTCACAACTGCCTATAACAGCTCTGGGGATCTGATGTCCTCTTCTGGCCTCCTCCAACACTTTCACTCATGGGCACATACCCCCCCCCCACATACACATAATAAAAAATAAATCTAGGTCAGGAGTGGTGGCACTCACCTTTAATCCCAGCACTTGGGAGGCAGAGACAGGCGGATCTCTGTGAACTCAAGGCCAGCCTCGTCTACATAGTGAGAAAAAAGGAAAAGAGAAGAAAGAATTTTCTGTCTTACTCAGGAAGCAGAGGCAGCAGATCGCTCTGAGTTTTAGGCTAACCTGGTTTACATACTGAGGTCTAGGCCAGCCAGGGCTACATAATAAAACTATCTCAAAAACAAAAACACCCCCCCCACAAAACAAAACCAAGCAAAAATTCTCTCTATATAGAAACACACATGTTCAACTGGGCACATTTGTGGAACCTCACAAATCACAACATTACGTGTAACTTGACAACTTCAAATAGTGCACGTGCATTTTTGTGAAGAATGGCTGGATAAACTAAGTTCAGACATAGCTCAACTTAGTATATAACAATTAAGAGCAATGTGCTCCAGGCTCTGAAATTAAAATGGGTACACCTCTAAGATGAAAATGAAAATCAAATTGCAATAAGACAAAACAAAAGTCTTACCACAGCTTTCAAATAATATTTAAAACAATGCAAGGGTGTGATGGCAATACAAATTTACTAACAATGAGATTGTTGCTAAGACCCTTAAATTGTGGAAGACCTGGGTGAGATAAGACAAGAATCAGGAAAGCAAATAGAAATCTGCTGTTGCCCCTTATGCTTTACTCCGGGCTTAACTAGCAGGTGCCCTCGCTGAAATCTTTGTTTGCCAAACTGCTACATTCTTGTGATCTTTTGTAACCATGTGCTTATGTGTAACAGATTGCTCAACTACTACCTATAGGCTTCTGGAACCCAATACTTGCTTAACTTCCGAATATAAATTGACTGTAAATTTCCCTAGGAACTTGAGCTCTGGCCTGGCACCATTATGGAATGATCTGGATGTCAGCCCAACATCATGATAAACACCCTCTCCTTCACCTGACTTGGCTACTGATCTCTTGATTTCCAGAAGTTTCAGCAACAAAAGCATGTAATAAAGGTTAGGGGGCTCCGCAAGCAGGCATACCAAACTCAGGATATTGTCTCCTCTGGGGCTTTCAGAATAAGGCCAGGATTGGAGGTGAGGGAGTCAGGAAGGGAATTTGCCTTTCTTTTTCTATGTGGTGTTAAGGGTAATATAATGCAGATATTATTTTGATAAATGAAAATGCTGCCTGGGAAGCCAAGGATGGTGGCTTACACCTGTAATCCCAATAGTCAGAAGGATTGCCACAAGTTTAAGAAAAGGCTGGGCAATATAGTCAGTTCCAAGTCAGCCTGAACTACTACAGTGTGAGATCCTGCCATAGAAAAACAGAAGAGACAGAGAGAGGGTAGGACAGGTGGGAGAGGAATAAATGCTGGCTTGGTTGTGGTCTTGGGCTAAAGGCTATATGTTACAGAGGGAGTGGCGGTATAGGAAGTGGACTTCTGAGCAGTCCAAGGCAGGGCAGGTAGTGCCTCTTAGGCCAGGTAAAACCCCACATTGCAGAGAGGCACCAGCACACATGTGTTTTTAAAAGACAAATAAAATATTAGAACCTAAATCCTTCAGAGAACTGAAAATTTATCTTTAAATTTAAAAAAATTATTATTTTTATTTTACGTGTATGAGTGTATTGCCTGCATGTGTGTAAGAGCACCTGTGTCATGCAGTGCCCTCAGAGGTCAGAAGAAGGCGTTGAATCCCCTGGAACTGGAGTTACAAATGGTTGTTAGCTGCCATGTAGGTGCTGGGGATTGAACCTAGGTCCTCCGCAGGAGCAGTCAGTGCTCTTAACCACTGACCCACCTCTCCAGTCCCTAAGAACTGAAAATTTATCTTAAAAAAAATAGCAGAAAAGCCGGGCGTGGCGGCGCACGCCTGTAGTCCCAGCACTTGGGAGGCAGAGGCAGGCGGATCTCTGTGAGTTCAAGGCCAGCCTGGTCTACATAGTGAGTTCAGAAACTCACACATCTCAGAAATGTTAAAAAACCTAATAGACAAAACCCAGTATGCATCCACTCTCAGAAGAAAACACACATCCTTTCCCGCCACGTAGGAACTAATCACAAAAACTGCCCACAACGGAAATCTTGGTAGACTCCCAATAAAAGCAGAAATAAAGCAACTCATACTCTATGACAACGAAAATGGATGTGATCAGGGAAGAGAGCCAAAGAACACGCAAAGCCCTGCCACCTGGCAGGGCTTCTTCAACAAATGGTGTTAGAACAATTAAACCAAAGAAACAAAACAGAAACGAACCGTAACTGAAATCCTTACATCAATATAAACTGAGGATGAGTCAAAGATTTGAACCTTTAAAATGTGTTAAAAAACACACGAGAATCCTTTTTAAGTGTGTGTGTGTGTGTGTGTGTGTGTGTGTGTGTGCACATGCCTCATGGTGCGCATGTGGAGGTTAGGTCAGCAGACAGCTTTGTGGAATCATCTCTCCTTCCACCTTTATGTGGGTTCCAGGGATCAAACTCAGATGGGCAGACTTGCACAGCAAGCACCTTTACTGGCTGAGCCATGTCATCAGCCCATAAGAGAATTTTAAAATCATCTAGTAGGGGTAAAGAACTTTTGTAAATATAACAGAAAACCCGAAAGCCATCAAAGGCTGAAAATTATCTTTAAGTAAAATATTTTGTAAAAAAAGAATCCAACTGTGACAGGAGAGTGGGGGCGATGATATTAGTGGAAAAATGAGAAAGAGTAAAATATTTGGTAGGAAAAGCAGTAAAATATTTCCAGGTGTTATCTTTGGTTGGTGGAATTGCAGGTTATTTTAATTTTACCATATTTTTCTTAAATGAATATTTTCATGAGAGGGGGCAGTGGCAGGGCCCATAGGTTACTGACACAGAAACTGTGTTCTCCCCATTGAGAGCAAGTGCCTGTTCTCTACTGGCTCCTTTGGTCCCATATCCCTGCTGGGGAATCCTTTCCAGTCTTTTTGCCAACCGGCTTCTTGTATGCGTTCATCTTGAGGCCTCTCTCTCCACCCCTCCCCCACTGTCCTGCCACAGTCGGATTCTTGATGTCTTAATATTTTTTTACAGCACAGGTTTTAATATTCATAAACAGCTCTCATATGGATGGACTGTAATTTACAGAACTAATCCTTATTACACTTAGAATGAACTTGATACGAAAATCTCTAAGTGCAAATCTATTTTCTTAGAATACTTTACTGGAGGTAATATTACAGAATCAATCAAACAAACAAACATAAAAACCCATGCCAGGAATGATGGCATATGCCTTTAATCCCAGCATTTGGGAGGCAAAGGCAGCGTATTTCTGTGAGATCAAGGCTGGCCTGCTCTACATATCAAATTCTAGGCCATCTGGGGCTACAGGGAGGACCTGTCTCAAAAAGACAAAATAAAATAAAATAAAATAAAATAAATCAGTCCTTTCAGGGTCTTCTCACACATTCACAGCATTTTCTTTTATTTAAACTTTTAACTTTTGATTGATTAAATTTGTTCTTTGACAATTTCATCATATATAATGCATTCTGTTTACTCTTGGATCACACACACACACACACACACACACACACACACACGCACACACGCCCTGTTATCTCCCTCCCATCCCTGCAGTCTTCCTTACAAGTTCCTTTCCCACATTCATGTCTTTTTCAACCCTACAGAATATGGCCAGAATGAATGAGTTTACACACATTGCCTAGGATGAGTTTACACACAATGCGGCTGCTGCTTGGCTCCTGTGTCTGTCTCAGCTTGCTCAGCACATTACCTTTACAATAATGGGACAATGCTTTTGAAGGAGTTTTTCTGTTACATCATTAATGCTGATGTGGCATCTTTCTGGCCCAGGAAAACCATTTGGCTTCCCAGAATCCTCCATGGTGCACAATATTCATTCTTGTTTGATTGTTTTTAAGTCACACATTTCTCTAGCTGTAAAGACTTCATGAGACTGTTAAAATCATTGCTTGTCCATTGGCTCAGTAAGAAGAGGGAGGACATTGAGGTCTCATTTTATGGGTCCTGGACTCCTTGCATGAATTCATGGGCTTTTAACATTGTTAATGTTTTTAAGACATTTCTTGCATTTTTCTGTTTCTGGAAACACTAATTGTAACACCCCACAGAGAAAAGCATAGAAAAGTATGAAAAATAATTTAAATCTTAAAATTTGGAAATACATTTCTTGTCATATTTGACATTTTATGTTGAAATTAACTCAAACCTATATGTAAATTCATATGTATAAATATATTTGAATACTTTGTCATATCATGCATATATTTTCACAATTGTGGTCAAATACTCTATATAAATACATTTCTATTACATAACCTATAAGAACACTTAATATTTTATGTATGACCCAAAATATTTAAATGCAAATATATGGTTACATTATAACATAAATATCCAGAAGAAACCCATATAAGTTTTTATTTCATTTTACTAGAAGAAACTGTTACCCTTTCCTTCATTTTACTGTTGTGATTTAGCACAGTTTCGAACCCAGCTAGTAAGACAGAGTCAGTCTCAGCTCCATGTGTCTCACTCAAGGGGTTCAGCAGTAACACTGTAAAGATTTCAACCCTTGCAATCCCTGTGCTGGTGAAGCAGACAAATGTAACCCTTGGGCTCGCTGGCCAGCCAGCCTAAAATAAGGTTTTTAAGACCAACGAAAGACTCAAAAGAGATGGTACCTGAGGAACACACACACACACACACACACACACACACACACACACTATTTACCATTTTGTTCTAATTACTATTGGAAGGCAGTGATGAAATTCAACAGAGAAAGATAATTATATTTCTAAATAGGTACAATTAAAAAAATCTTTAAAGTTACCTCACATAAAATGGACAATGTGGCTGGTTGGCTGTTACAGATGGAAGGCCAGAGCAGCAAGCATTAGTGACCATGCCAGACCCGGAGTCCCAACTTGATCAGGGACTCACATGCCAGTTTACTGTATCTAATCACAGACATTCAACAAATAATCTGGCAGCAAACCAGTTCCTTCAGTGATTTAGATAACTACCTCAAAGATGGGGAAACAAAACAAAACTTGCACGAACTTTCCAGGATAAAATCTACATGCCATTCAAAGTTTCTGAGTGGCTAAAACCTCTCTCAGGTCATATCCTAACCGCTGCTTCTTCCAATCCAGTCTGCCCCCAGATGTGGGGTCCCCTAGAACCTAACAAACATTCTTTTGCACACCATCACTGTCAACAGCAAGACCCTAGAGGCAGAGTGTGTATACAACCAAGTAAAGATTCTCAAACTACAACAGAATGTACAACCAATGCCATCATTTTCTAATTGAATATAACTCATAGCTTCACCTGTAAAACACTTAACCTCACGAGTACCAATCTCTGTGTTTTTAATCAATGCTTCCTATTATTTCGTTTTCTGGACTATTTTGTTTCTTTTTTTCTTTTTTAATTTCTCAAAAATATAAATGATAGGCTGAGGATGTAGCTCAGTGGTAGAGTGCTTGCCTAGAATGTGTAAGGCCTTGGATTCAATTCCCAGCACTGCAAATAAAAATAATTATCCAATTGCTAAGATTGCATTTGCTTTTCTTGTGTGTGTGTGTGTGTGTGTGTGTGTGTGTGTGTGTGTGTGTGTGTGTGTATTTATCAGAAGATGTGTAGTTTTGGGGGTAAGCAGCCAATTCAGTTAGATTTAAAGTTTTGGCTACTGTTCTTTGATGAATTTAGTCAGGAAAAGGACAAGGCCTTCATTCAGATGGCTTTATTTGGAACATCTTAGAGACACCCAGAACTGAAATGCATCAACCTAAGCCAGTGGGGCCTTGGGATCTGAACACTTCATGGGGTCCTCAGGAAGGCACCCAAAGGGACTGTAATCCCACAGATAATGCTCCTAGTTTCCCTTTTCTCTACTCCAATATTTGGGTGCCCCCTATGGTCTTGTGTCCTCCAGATCCCATACTTCGTAGCCTAGAAAGCTTTAGAATCAAGTACCTTCCCTTGGGGGCTGGAGAGATGGCTCAGCAGTTAAGAGCACAGCTGTTGCAGAAGACCCAGGTTTGGTTCCCAGCACCCACATGGTGGCTAACAATGATCTGTAACTCCCAGTTCCAGGGAATCTGACACCCTTTTCAGATCTCTGCAGGCACTGCATGACATGGGTGCACTTACATACATGGAGGCAATACACTCATACACATAGAACACAAATAATAAATATAATATAAAAAAAGAACCTTCCCTCTAAAAGCCCAGCTGACCTTATCCAAAATGAATCCAGAGGTCCTCGCAATGCAGCAAGTTCTTCACAAGTTTCTGCAGTAGACAAAGTGTGGTGAAGAACTGCAGAGCAGCCTTTTATACTTCCTGCTCTGCATCATCCTGCCTGAGGCAAATGGGGGGAGGAGACCAGGGAAGAGGTAGAGGAGGGAGAGCAGGAGGAGGAGAGGGTTGGCTTCTGAGTAGTTTGATTGATACTGCCTAAAACTTTTGTTCCAAAGTTTCTATACATGTACATATTGTATGCTAAGTATGTTTCCATTCACCCACCTGCCTTTCCCCCTCCTCTTAGTCTCCTTTGTCCCCAAACAGTTTTCCTTCTACTTTCAATGTCATATACACATACATGATAGTATGTGATTCTATAAAACCTAGAAACCACAAATGATAAAAGCACATGATATGTGCCTGAGGTTGGCTCACTTCACCTAGTAAGATTGTCTCCAGCTGCATCTATTTTCCTGCAAGCAATGTAACCTTTTTTTTTTTTCCTGTAAGGCTTTAAAAGATTCCATGGTGCACACATACCTCATTTTCCTTATCCATTTCTCTGCTGTTGAATACTTGGGTTGGTTCCATACTTTGGCTACTGCAAATAGTGCTTCAGTAAACATTGATGTGCAAGTATCTCCATGATATGTTGACTTGGGGTCCCTTGGGCAAATACAGGAGTTGTATAGTTGTATAGGAGTAGTAGGGCTGGTCACATGGTAGACCTACTGTTAGTCTTTTGAGAAACTTCTGTACTGACTTTCCATAGGGGCTGGCCAAGCTTACGTTCCCACCAACAGGGGTCTCTTGTCTACATTCTTGCCAGCGTTTATGGTTACTTGTTATCTTAAGGACTGCTAGTCTCATTAAGGTAAGATGGAATCTCAGTGTTCCTTTAAGTTGCATTTCCCTGATGTCTAGTGAAGTTGAACTTTTTGTCATGTGTTTCTTGGCCATCCATATTTTCATATTTTTAAGATTTATTTACTTATTTATTTACCTATTTAATTATTTAGCTACTATTTATTTATTTATTTATTTATTTATTTATTTATTTATTTATTTAGAATGAGCAGTGTGCATGCCCCTTATGGAGGTCAGAGGAAATCTGAGGGAGTTGGTTTTCTCCTTCTGTCCTGTGAGTTCCAGAGACTGAACTCTGGTTTTCAGGCTTGATGGCAAGCACAGTTACCCCCTAAGGCATTTTCCCAGCCCTGTATTTGATCTTTTGAGAACCACCTGCTCATTTCATCAGTCCATCTAGTAATTGGGCTGTTTGATTTCTTATTGTTTAGTTTTTTGAATTCTTTGTATAGTCTAGGTATTAATGCTTTGTCATATGTATAGTTTGCAAAGATTTTTCCCCCATGTTATAGGTTATCTATTCACTCAACTATTTCTTTTGCTGTACAGAAGCTTTTTAATTTCAAAGGCCTCATTTGGCAACTATTATTTCCTGAGCAACACCTTTCAATAATAACCACGAATATTAATGGTCTCAATATCCCAAACAAAAGACACAGACTAGCACACTGAATGAAAAATCAGGATCCATCTCTTTCTTGTCACCAAGAAATGCACACCATCAAAGATACATGCTACCTTTGGGTGAAAGAATGGAAAAAGGTTTCTAAGCAAATGGACCTAGGAAATAAGTAAATGTCATTGTTCATTAGCTCACAAAATAGACTTCAAACCAAAACCTATCAGAAGTGATAAGGAAGGTCACTTTATCTGGATTAAGTGTTCATATGGATTAAAGGAACAATCCATCAAGTGGACATTACAGTTCTAAACACTAAAATACTGAACATGGGTGCATAAAGCATACATTACTTGGGATAAAGTCACAGATTCAACCCCAACATAGCACCCTACTCTCACTAATACACAGGTCATTTAAAAAATAAAATAAACAGGAAAACATCTAAGTTAAATGACATTGTAGATCAAATGAACTTAACAGCCATCTACAGAACATCCCATCCAAATACTGTAGAATACACATTCTTTTCAGTAGCACATAGAGCTTTCTCTAAAATAAAGCCTATAAAAGGAGACATAGCAAGCCTCAGTAAATACAGGAAAATTGAAACAACTTCTTTATTCTGTCTGATAATGACGGGATAGGGCTAGAAATCAAGAATAAGAGAAACCAAAGAAAATACACAAACTCATGGAGATCAAATAGCACACTACTAAGGAATGGGTCATAGAAGAAATCAAGAAGGAAATAAGAAAATTCCTAGACTCACATGAAAATGAAAACAGAACAGATTAAAAGCTATGGATTCAATGGGGACAGTTCTAAGAAGGAAGTTTATAGCTGCAAGTATACATTAAAAAATCAGAGAGAGGCCTGTGAGGTGGCTCAGCAGATAAAGGTACTTGCCACCAAGCCTGAGTTCCACTGCTGGAACCCACATAGTGGAAAAAGAGAACCAACTCCTGCAAGTTGTTCTCTGACCTCCAGACATGTGATATGGCACCCCCGACCCATATGCATATAATAAATAAATGAATGACAAAATCAGAGAGGTTTCAAATTAATAACTTAACAAAACACCTTAGGGCCTTGGAAAAACAAGAACATGCCAAGCCCAAAAGCAATAGATGGGAAAAATAATTCAGGTCAGGGCAGAAATTAATACAATAGAAGCAAACAAAAATCACAAAGAAAAAAAGAAGCAAAGAGTTGATTCTCTGGAAAGCTAAAGTAAGCAAAAGAGAGAGAAAGCCCACATTAATGAAATTACGGCAGAAAAGGAGACACTGTAACAGATAACAATGAAACTCGGGAAAATCATATGGATATGCCTTTAAAACTTTGACTCCATTAACTTGGAAAATCTAAAAGAAATGGATGAATTTCTAAAATTATATCAACTGACAAGAAGAGCCTGGGAGTGGCAGGTTCTGGCTTGGAGACCCTCAGAGGCAGCTCTGCTTACCACCACCACACTTGGCTGAGATTTTGTTTTTTAATTTATTTATTTCTATTTTATGACTATTTTGCATGCATGAATATAGATGCACCACGTATGTACAGTGCCCAAGGATGCCAGAAGAGGACATCAGCTCCCTTGGAACTGGAGTTAAGAACAACTGTTGGCTGCCATGTGGGTGCTGAAAACTGAACCCAGGTCCTCTGCAAGAGCAGTAGTGCTCTTAACCACTGAGCCATCTCTCCAGCCTCCTGGATGAAACTTTAGATGGGTCATTTTACTGCTAGGGCTTCATTTCTTCAATCCAAATGAGAAATGTGGACTGATGATAACCAAGAATGCTTTCTTTAAATAGCTCAAGATTTTAATTTTTTTCTGGGTTAACCATTAAGACTATAAAGTTTTCATTCCATAAATACTAAGCAAACACCTCTGAGAGGCCACAGTCCTGGACTCTGAAAGTCTGCCAACTCCCACAGCTAACTCTCTCCACATACACAAGGATGCTCCCTTGGCCCCAATGCCATGGCTCCCAATTTGGGCTGCTTTGAAGAACTCTCGTCTCATAAGGAAATGGTTCCCTAAGCACCAGGAAGGAACTTACAGCAATGGTGACATATGCACAAGGCATGTGCAAGCTCAAGCCAGACAACAACTCAGCATAGAAGTGGGGAAATGGGTAAGAAGCCCCAACCTTAACTGAGAAACTATTGATAACCAATAACTACTGGGAGAGGGAGAGTTGGTTTTCTTTAAGGGAGAAATGCTAGTTTGACCAGGCTCCAGTGAATGAACTCACACCGAGGGATATTTAGGGACACAAACTTGGCTCAATAGGCCTTAACATATATGACAGAATACATGAAATCTGGTGGCGGGCAGGGCTGTGGGGGTGCAGATAATTGAGGGGTCTAAATATGATCAAGATTTATTGTATGAATTTCACAAAAAGTTGATTAAAAAAAAGAACTCTCAAATCCAAGGCTTTCCTCCAGCAGTCTCACCAGTGAGGCAAACCCTGGGCCCTTCAGCCCTTCACCATGTGGGGCTCTGGGGTTATAACAGGTAACAAACCCATGAGCTCCTTATTGTGAATGAGTTGAAATATTATTTGCTGTTAAAAGAAGAAAAAGAAAAGCATCTCTCTTCTTTGAAGATGTTTTCTTTCTTTCCCAAAACAGAATATGTTTTCAGAGCAAAGGGCCCCAACTTAGAGCTGAGAGGGTGAAATGAGGTGTCTAAACGTGCCTCTGCACCCAGGAGGACTGGGTAAAGGTAGCCTCATAATAACAGTATCCTTAGGTGGTATTTGATTCTGTCCAAGAATCTGGGCAAGACCACAGCAACAAAATCAAATCCTGTTTGTGGCTAAATACACCCTGGAAACCCTGTGGTTTCCCCAGCATCAGGCACAGCCTCCACCTTAGTTCTGTCCCATTGTTTCATGAAAACTTCCTATCCTCAGCTGTGAAGTTCTTGAGGGCAGCAACTATAACTTTCATAATAAGATCTGGACCATACAACCACCTGCAAATCAACAAGGGAGGGAACTCTGTAGAGGGGTAAGGGCTACAAACATGGAGTTCCCTGATGTGGGCACGCAGACCATCGAAGTGTAGGATGGCATACTCAAATGAATGAGTGCACCTGGGATATGTAAATTAAAGCAAGGAGAGAGCCACTTTTTCTTATTATTGGCAAAAGCTTTCAAGTTGAAAGCCTCAAAAGAGCAGGCTGGTAGGCTGTGAAGGCTGCACTGTACAGGATGCTGGGGAAGTCTTATGAAGTCCTGGGGTGGGTTTGGCCACAAACAGTTTGGTTCTGTTGTGGCATTGCTGAGATTCTTGGACAAAACTAAACATCAGCTGAGGGACCAGCTGTGGGTCACCTTTATGCTGCCATCCTGGATGAAGGGGCACAGAAGCCACAGGAGCCATGAGCAGCAACCTTTCTGGGTCCATAGGTTCTTATGTCCTCTTAAATTGCATTGGTAAGAGATGAGCATGCTAATCTCCTTGATTTGATCTTGACACTAGGGGACACTGAAGCAGAAAGACCACAAACTCAAGTCCAAGATGAGTTACACAGTGAGACCCTGTTTCT